CTCGGTCCGTCCTTCAGGGCCCTGCTGTTTGGGCGTGGCGGAGGCGCCGTTTCTGAGCTTGGAAAGCTGGAAGACGGCTACTTTTCTTGTAGGTTCAGAAAGCATTGTGGGGCATTGCCGTGCGGTGTGGCAACCTTAAGCTGGAAACGTCATCAGGTATGCACGCGCCACTGGTTGGTGCGACACTGCCGGCCGCTGGGATTGCGATGCGTTACCCGAATTCGGCCGGAAGCCAGTGTTGAGTGCACCACCGTGCCGCATGTTGGACATGCATGCGAATATGTGCGACCTGCGAGCAGGCCATTGGCAACGCGAAATTGTTTGCCGCAGCCATTACCGCGGCGGTGATCGACGCGCCCTGTTGCCACAGGGCTTTGCACAGACTTAGCACAGTACGGGCAGATGTATATGTGCAGTCGTGGCGGTGCTGCTGTGTCAGGCCCGACAGCAAGCTGCTGGTTCGATGAGTGGGCAGTGTCCGTTTTGGGACCTTCTGCTCGCGTGGAAGTTTGTCTTGCTTCGTGTATTTCCTGAATTTCCTTGCGAACGTCCTCTAGGATTGCTGCGTGCCGGTGGCGGGTTTCGCGTTGGCGCAAGCGGGCCAGGCGTTGATTCGTGCGATGAGCAAGACGGCAAACGAAGGCAAAGGCTGTGCATGCGTTGCATACTTGTGTGCCGTTTTGAGTATATTCACGACCTTGTTGCCAAGCTGTAAACTCTGTTCGTGGCTTGCGTTCCGCGCACTGGCGACATTGCCAACAGCCGCGTAGTTTGGTGGCACATTCTCTGCAGCAGCGGCGATCCGCGTTGCGAGCTTTCCATGCGGCTGCGCCAAAGTCGGATTCTGCTTTCACAACGCCACACTTGAAACAAGGTTTCTTCACTTCACATGTCAAACACACACGAAAAAAACTACACTGCCGTTGACGATGCTTTGCTGGAAAATTGTCTTCGGCATGCCACAGCTTGCAAACGTTGCATTGCCACGGCGTTCCTGCGTCTGCGTAGTGCTTTGTGCATTCGCGACAGACGCGATCCTTGTCCTCGCGCTTCCATTGACCGGTCGTGAAGGCTGCTGCTGGCTTGCGTTCCGTACAGGTTGCACACCGACGTTCTTCGCAGTATTTGGCCAACAACGATTGCCAGTTGATGAAATCCCCTCGAAGGTGTCGCAGAAGAAGGTCTCGGCCCAAACCAATTCCCTTTTGGAATGGAGCGGCGTCAAAAGGTCGAAAAATCAACAATTTTTCGCGTCCTGTGACGCGAGTGATCGCGACATAGACCGTGAAGGGATTTCCTGTGGGACCTATACAAAGATCCGTCATCACCCCCTCTTTGATGGTCTGTCCTTGCGCCACATGCGCCGTGATGGCGAACTGGGGTGCGAGCGGGAATTGCGTCCGCGATACACGCAGCTTGGGGCGTTGGCGTTGCCGGTCTAAGTACCACACACGCCTGCAAGTTCCGACGGGGTATACGTTTGCATCCGGCAGACCTGGCACATGCCATGAGGTTGCGGTTTCAAACCTCACATACACCACGGCCGGCAAAGTGTTGCACACGACTCCTTCCGGCGCAGGCGTCTCATTGGCAATCGTGGACCAACCGACGACGTAGCCCTTGGTGCCTTTTAGAATGCCACGCTTCCGGTCGAGGTGATCTGTTGCACGGACAGGCATGCCGACGCACAACGGCAACACGCCGTACAGTCCACCGCACTCTTTGTCGTGTCGCTGCAACCATTGCAATTTCTCCGTCGTCAAATTCGGCTTCTCCTGCACGACCACAGACGACGCAACATCTTGCGCAACAAATAAATACGGTTGCTTGTCTCTGGCATTCGCCCACTGTATGGCGCGAAGCTTGTTCACGTGGTATTTGATGTCGTTGGTGCCGAAAATCGCGACCGCATCTGCAAATTCCTTCTGGAACCGTGTGTCCGCAGCTCCTTGCGCCACAAGTATGCGCGAACGGCGATCCGCCGCACAGTAGCTGCATTCGGCCTCTTGTATGGCTTCTGGAATTAGGCCTTGTGTAGGCAACGCGGCGCAACTTGGTTGTTGGCACGTCGCCTGCCCAGCAATCCAGCTGCCTGGCACTGTGGTAGGCCGCCCGTGCAGAAAGCGATGGTTATTGTCGGACAAGTCACCATGGCGCAGTTGCTCACGCGCCACAGAAGATATGCCCAGGGGTCGGCGGCAGGGGGCGGAGCCCTTTAATATATATATATATATCACTGATTTTATAGATAAGTCCCAAAAAGATGTGTACTGCGCAAATCGCCAACAAACTCCGTGTGGTGTTCACCAGGGTTGCCTGACTGGGAACCCACGAGCCTCGATCTTATTTAATGCTTCCCCTTCAGTCCAGATAGGCGAAGGCGACCCCGCATTGTGGGCAAAAGCTGTGAGAGATCATCCTGGGCCTCAATGCCAGTGCTTCGATATGCTTCAACATGTCCAGTTCAAAGAAAATACTGTATATGATTATATATATATATATGTATATGATCATATATGTGTGCGTGTGTATATAACTTATATGACTATAGTTATAGGTTATACAGTGATACCCCTAAGTTTTGGGGTTTTACAAGCATATATATAGTTATACCATTCATAACCCCAACTGCACCCCGCCCCCGATAAAGGGGAAAGGCAGGAATCTGAAAAGCTCCAGGTTTGTCAACTGATGCCAAGCGTATCTGGTGCAAATATTTGGCAGTTCAGGATAGTCCGGGCATAGTTGCGGCATAATCGCATTTTCGTTTGCCAACACGCTCTGTATCAAAATACCTAGACCAAGCTGCAAGCGGCAAATCAGCGGCTGAGCACCACACACCCCGCACCATGCGCAGAAATTCTTCGGGCGCATGTACGCCGGAGTGCCTTTGTAGAGGGTCTGTGTGTCTCAGGTTTGCTCAGGCTCACAGGCTAAAAGACATGACGTATTGCTATCAGCTCCATCGGCCATATCTGGCCCTGCCACCAAGCAACCCCAGCTCCAGTGCTCTTCGATTGCCTTCAAATCTGCTTCTGTCGCCACTGCCGTGTCTTCACTTGGTACTTCATGTTCATCATCATTGCCTGGCAACATCAATCACATGAACAACCTTGCAACATTCGTCCCCTGCACTGTCACAACCTCCGTTTCAGAAGTATTTCAAGATCTTCAAGCTTGCAAGGGGATGCCATAAATCCAGGAACCTTAAACCCTCGTCTACAATAGAAAGATATCGAAAAGGCTCCGTGTCCCATTTTTGTGAGGACATCTGACAGAAGTCCATCCCTCTAGTGGAAGCTAAGACCTACATCTTGTGATCAAAATTGATCAAACGTGCCGCTTTGCGCCAATGAGCGATGCCATGCCAGCAAGAAGGTGCGAGATCTGGGAAAGTTCGGTGTGTCAAGCAGATGAAAGAGAGCTGTTTGGGGGAACCCCAAAGTTCCGATTTGACTCTCTGGGTAGTAAACTGATGCGATGGCACTTTCGTTCATTGTTTGGTGATATTTTCATCCTCGTCGTCATCATCACCACCACCACCGCCACCATGTACCCAAAAGAGTTTCTCTACCGTGCCGGCAGCATGCGAAGAAGACTGCATTGTGGGCAGAAGGAGCACAGAACTAACTGGTCTCAGTCATTCTGGGCGCACGTGCATCCAAGTCCTCATCGTTGATGGTGTCCTGCTTCTCCCCTTCTGCCTGGAAGGAGCTTCCGGAAGATGACCACAAGATGAACCCTACCGGACATGATTTGATTCGAAGAAAAAGGTGGAATAGAACCAGGACCCTGGTTCCACATGCTTTTTGAGCCTGGTCTTCTTCCATGAACAAGCAGACTTGCAAAACAAAACCAAGCTGTGTCCTGGTGCCAATGCTATTCAAAGAACACACCCCCTTTGACTCAAGATCGTGCGTGCCTGTTGCATGTGCAGTCACTTCAAGTACATAGATCCCTGTACATCATGTTCACCACCAGATCCAACAACAGCCGCCCAACCATCACTCCATAACCCAACAAGCATTTCCTGGATATGTTTTATCTGTTTAACATTTGTTTGGTGGGGATGAACATCCCAACATCCACATAGATAACCCACATAGAACCAGCCGAAATTTCATCCCCAGGGTATCCACCAGATCCTTCCAGATCCTGCCTCCTCTTCGGAGCTATCTGGTGAACTGCCCGAAGCTGTGGAGCGGCACCAGGCCACATCCTCCTCCAATGGCACGTACCTCCCAGGCGAGCCGGTGGCGAGCCAGCTATACGCAAAGCTACTGAGCTGGAGATTCCCAAACTGGATACTTATATGATACTATTGTATACTATTGTCAGATATTCTCAGTCATATTCAGGAATCACGGAGTCATGATATGTCATGATGATATCTATAATATTCTATAATGATGATCAATGGTGATTAACATGATTAACCCGCTTTACACCACTTGGATCCACTTGGTAACCTCACAGCAACAGCATCTCAGGATCTCCCAGGATGTGTCGTGATGTCGATGTCGGGCACATGGGCTTGGACGTGTCCTTCTCCAAACCTGGCGGACTTGACGGCATCGTCCAGAACGTCACCTTCTTCCTGGCTCATGAAAGACATGAAAACACACCTGGGAACAAAATCTGACTTCGCCTGGTAGATGAGTGTGAATTATATGTGTCTGACTGTCTGACATCGATTTAATGATTATTACAGGTGTCTGGATGACATGCGGGTGAGATAGTCCATGGTAATTGCTTTGGGTTGATAGAAAACCAAAACCAGTTCACACTGGAATGTTGCTAGGCCACAAGTATGGAGGGCTCTTTCACCCGAAGCTGCGGATCTCACAAGGTAGCCAGTTCGACATATGAAGGGAATCTACTTCCGAGCTTGAAATCCTCGGCTTCCGAATGGGAACAAAGAAGCGTGAGCGTCGCAGCAACAACTCTGATAGAGCTGCAATTTCAAAAGGCAGAGGAACATCCAAGGGCCAAAAAATCTTGGAACCAGAGGTGTTATGCTGTCAGTGGGACTTTTTCATCTTTTTCACTCCCTATCCTGCACCCCAGGCCCCGTTGTCATCCCTTGTCTTCCTGGTGCATCGCCACTTCAGCCACTTCAGTCCATAGCGTGTCATTGGTCAGATTGCAAACCCTGCAACAGCAGGTCTGCTTTCTTTTGGCCAAGGCACGGTGCGTCCGCAGATTTTGAGATGTACACCTATCCAGTCCAGAGGAAGCAAATCAAAGATAATCAAAGATTGCCAGGGGAGATGGACGCAGATCACGCTGAGGGAAGATGGACCGCCAATCTAAGAATAACACTCCAATCCTGGCACCATCTGGCACCCTTCCGGTGCCTCGCTTGTGGACGCCATCTCACAGAAGAATGCTCCAATCCGCAAGCTCAAGGGAGATTTCTTGAGCGAAAAACGCTCTGCAGGATATGACAATGATATGACATGATGACACCCCACAGGAAAGTTATGTTTTTTTGAAGGCTATGGAGGATCAATTAGGCCTGGGAAAAGTCAGGATGCATCCGGCATCCATGGGCAAGCAAAGTCAAGAAGTAAAGTCACTACTAAAACTTCTGTCTCCAGCCATCTGGCCAGAATGATCAACCCAAGAAAGGATCACAAAGGCGTTCTGAATTTCACAGTGAGCAGAATCAACAGTGACACCAATCTGTCTTTCTAAAAATGAGAGAACGGATGTGAACGGCCAACCGCCAGATGATTCATGGCCTGCAATCCATGGATGTTGCGACCAAATTTCCAACACATGGAATATATTAAACGGAATGTCACCACAAACACTTTGTCAACATGTAGAAGTTTTGGCCATGGAGTTGTCCCTTGCCCAAATCTTCTCTGTCACTTGGCTCATTGAAATCATAATTCAGTGTCAAGTCCATAGAGAAAAATCCCATGAAATGAAGCCTGGAAAGAGCTCTTTTGAGACTAGCAACGTGTAGCATCTCAGTGGTCGCAGGACTGCTACATTCCCAGTAAGATTCCTTGTTCGACGAGTTCTGCAGCCGTGGCTTGTCCTTTGCACCAGATCGCGGCCTTTACCATGGAATAATGCTGAGAAACATCGGAGCTATTGGTGCCCCATGGTGCTGCTATGAACAGCAAGCTACAGCTTGGAAAATCACAAGTAGGTTCGCGCCCTTTGGCAGTGCGATGTCGCGCATAATTTTGGTACCCACAGAAGTGTTGGTATTCGGGGCTGATGATTCATTAAATTGAAAGCTGTCAGTTTGACCTAACCGATTGATCGATCTCTTAAAATGATGTTCTCTTTCTTGGGGAATGGTGGCAGAGTTACACCTTACTTCGATTTACAGTAGTTGTTAACTCTGCTGAATTTCTTCGGCGTGAACCTTGTTGTGTTGTGGCCATGCGGCCTCAGTTGGGACCTAAATGACATCCATCAAGATGTGGCATGCTCCTCAGGTCCAAAGTCAACAAAGTCATCGGAAAGTCACGCAAAAGCTTCGACAAATGCTCGATGCAAAGCCAAGCTTCGGCCGATTCCGGGTGCTTCCGGACAGCCGGCAATAATTGAAAGAAGCGAAGGCCTGGAATATCTGGAAGCGTCAAAGGTACTTCGGTTGACACGGTGACTCAGTTGGTCCGTGGTCAGCAACGGCGGTTGGTGCTTGGTAGGTCCCAAAAGTGGGATTATAATAAGATATTGTAAGATATTGTAAGATGGTCCCATTGACAAGTCAAGACATGTCAAGACATGTTGGCCGAATTGATTCTTGCGCCAAAATTCAGATGCAATCAGATACATTCAAATGTCCGCTTGGCTGTTTATACAAAAACAATTTGCAAGTCTGGAAGGGTGTGATGCGTCAGTCACACGGCATTTTGCATCATTTTGCACCCTGTGCCTCACACTCTTCCTCTGTCATGAAACGAAGGGAACGTTCCAGTGGACAAAGGTTCTCTGGGGAGATGGCGGGACACTCATCGAAGTTGCAAATGCCACCTGCTCCAACTGTAGTGCGTGCTGAGTTCAGTATTCAACTGGATGCCATCAGGCCAATACCCATCAATACCCACTCGTCAGATCTCGTCAGTAGGCTTCTAACAGTTTACAAATGTTTAGAACCCCTGTAGCTCAGGTAACACCTCGGATTAGGACTTGGAAATTGAAGTGATAATCGTAGATAATCGCAGGACCAACTGGGACTTGGCCTTGTGTCATGTCCAGAATCGTGGCATATGCGGGGTGGAATTCTGGTGACATTTTCTGGAGCACTGGGAAAACCCTCCGTGCTGGATAAGTTCAAACTGAATTCTGGACTTGTTCGGAAACAAACAAAAAGTCGGTACCAGGGCCTCGAATGAAGTCACCCCCATTGGTGCGGCTCAAGTGGTGCTTCATGCTTTGGGTGTAGCTCTGGACTACCTGCCAGGCATGGCAGACATTTCATGTCCATGTCACTGTGTCTGTAATGATTTCGGTGGTCTAAAATCAAGCAGCAGCAAGAAATCGTGTTGCCCCTTGTACCAACGCTGTTCAGTTGTTGGATTTTGATCACCGTCCTCGCCAGTGATGATGTTCTTCCAATACCTAAGAAATGCCAAGACAAATTCTTGGCGCTCGAAATCTTCAGAATGACATCAGAACAGAGCTCCCTGAATCTCACTGGTCTAATAGTCTATTTGGTATGATCATAGCGTGATCAAATGTCAGATGTTTGTCCTGTTGAAATTCAATGGACAACTTCAGAATAAGTTCGCTCGGTTTGTGGAGATTCAGCATCTTGCGCGGTCAACAGAGCCATGGACCCATCGTCATTTCATCCAAGGTGCGGATAGTTCATTGCATCAGCACTGTTGTAGCCTGGCTACAGGTGCTGACAAGCCTAGCATGGAGCAAAAACGTACCATCAATCAGTGCCCACCCTTTGTGTGCTGCAAAATCTTATATAGCAGGCAAGAGGGTGATAATTGACCGTCCCACACCTGCCACACAAAACGGACTTGAAAATGTGATCCGCGGTTGACCGAAATGGATGTTTTGTAAAGCTTTCAAGAAGCATAAACTTTGTTCCTCCTGAAGTATATATACATATCACATATACTGTATACACATGTACTACTGTGTATGTGTATATATATATATGTGTGTATGTATGTATGTGTGTGTGCTGTATAATACATATGTATATATTAGTATATATACATAAATATATATATATACATTGTCATATGTCCAATAGCATACTGTATATTATATATATATATTATTAATATAGCATGTAGTGTATTCATAATATGTATATTATAATATATATTCTGATATTATTATATCTATATATATATACATATTATGTGTAGTTATGTATTACATCATTTTATCATATCTTATATAATATATACGTTGTCTATAAATCTGCGTTTGACTGAAGCAAAGTGGTGCACTTTCACTTTCTTGCGATGCCATGTGCTTTCCAGTCCCCAACGCCACACTACTCAAACAGGTGACATCATCAGGAGTCTAGAATTGAGAAGCGCATGAAAAATCCTAGTCCCCTTAGAGTCCCTTCGAAAATCCAATCCAATCGATGGCTTTGTCTGGAAAATGTGCTACCCCGAATTTCGATACAGTAGTTGATCAGTAGTTTTCCATAGTTTTCCCATACAGTAATATAGATCAGATGGCCCACAAAACGAGGAGGCAATTCCACGATTAGGGGATATTAGGGGAATAAAACAGATTGCAGTCCAAGACACTGTGTGGGTAGGGGCCACCAATGAATTGTTCAACATCCAGTGCATCACAACTTTGAAGTTCCGTCAGTTGCTCCTCCCCACAGTGGCTGCCTAGTTGATAAGTACCGTCACGTCTATGATCACACTGCCAAGTTGATCACTACAGGAATGACTTCGAAATGACTTACCAGTAGGAATGAGAGCCTATCGATTTGATTCGATTTGTGCCTCTTGCCGACCTAGTGACCTGTTGCAACACTTCACTTCGACTGATGAGAAGCTGGGGCTCCTTCGTCAAAGCACTGCTCCTCAGATCTCCATTGGGGACTTGCTGAGAATTGGGTGTCCATCCATGTCCATCCTATATGGCCGTATATGGCATAGTAGTGGTCGTTACAATGCCAAGATCCTATTCAGCTAGCATGAAGCGTGGCGCATCCCAAACTGGTTGCTTTACCCGAACAGAGTTGCTCCCCAGTCCCCACTTCAGGCTGCGATCAGGATGCTTCGACCCTGAAATTGGAGTGGGCACAAACTTGAACGAAATGTTTAAGTGACTATGAGCGGACCAGGAAGAGTGTTCTCTTGAAGTCTCTTAAAGTCTTCAAATACCTTTAGTACCTGAGAGCACTTCGAGGCTTTCAAGGCTCCAAAGTCGGACCTTTGCCATCTCACAGTCCACCGGTCGGCCCTGGTGGCCACCACCAATCATGAACTGCCCGTTGTCAGCGATGTTCTCCTTAAGAGAAAAAGCAGGCAGAAAGGATCACGAAAAAGAGGATAAAAGAAGCAAACGAGAGAGTGAAGGGAGAGAGGGAGAAAGAAAGAAAAATTACCAAAAGAAGGACGTAAAAACATCTTAGGGTTGATGCATTCTTGCTCCAACCGATCCAAGGTGAGCAGTTGTATAGTATCTGGGCAAACGGGTGAACTAATAATGGGTAAACAGATGAAACGTCTATGCATGTTCTTTTAGAAAAGCACACGTCCAACCGTACCAACAAAAAAAGTCAAACTGCAAGTAGTTCATTTGCAAACACACATTCCGTTTCTCTGACTCTAACCTATCCATCAGGCCCAAGTGTCCGCATCCGGGGAATATGTGAGCCTCCCGGGATACTCGATGCTGTCAACAAAGAGTTTTCCAGTCCCTACATATTCAATGAGTGGATAGAGGTTGTCATAGATCAGAACGTTGTCTTCCACCGGCGTAAGCCCAGTGAAGGAATTGCTAATGAGCGTGGTGTTGAAAAGGGCCCACATCATGCCTGAGGTGTGTGCTTCACGGGATGCGATCTATAGTTCTGTGCTGATGTATGTAATGATATTCTTCAAGCCATCGTGTCTCCCCTCGTGTCTCCCCTGGCTCTTAATCTCAACGCAATTCCTAGTGATTCTAGGATAATGCAAGTTCTTTCCAGCGAAATGGTAGGTGGCCACCTATCCAACTGGCTTTACAGACCCCAGTTTTCATGGATCTGTTGGGATTCAGGACCGAAAGCAATCTATGTTTCCCATTGTTTTGTTTCCATTTTTTCTCGGCCCTGGATTGTAATCGCCGAGAGGCGGTTCTCAAATGTGTGGCTGCTAACCAATCTGGCCAAAGTCATGTCCACATTTTTCACGTCGCAATTCACCTCGCGCAGAAAGAAATGGGCGAGGGGCAATGAGATTCTTATCCAAATTTCATGCCAACATGTTCTCAACATACCAAATTCATCCCAATTCTGGAGTCAACTGAGTTGACAAACCTGCTTTGTGCTAGGCAATTCTAGAGCTGATCGCAGACGGCTGAGGTGGTCCATTCCTACAATAAATGAGCTGTAGAAATAGTGTGTTGCAGGAAAGTAGGAAAGACAATGAAACCTCGCACTCAGAAGTGCCACAAGCTCAAAATAGTTAAGATATATAATCAGGATACGTGTCAGAATTGTGGACCCCTAAAGGCCTTCACCTGAAGAGAAAATGGTTGAAAAAAATGGGATGAAACCATTTCGGGGACAATCCTCTGTTGGGCAATGTGAATCAGATGCAGACTGACTTTTGCTACCCGGAGACTGCCAAGGACACTTTGGTCCTTCCCTCCCCTCCAATGATTTGCTCATCCTTGGCCCGAAAGCTTGCACCATGGCAGGAGTCAAGTCACGAATCATAAGCTTGCCTCTTTGCTAAGCGGCTGAAAGAGAATGAAAGAGACGAGATCCCAATCTGCAAAGACTTGGGAAATGCAGAAAAATCAAGCACCGGAGCTGCCTTCACCGCGAAACCCTCAGTAGGCCAAGCTGCAGTCAATGTGACCCAAATATCGTCCAGTGATGCATTCGCCTCAATTGAAGTGGCATTTGCCAAACGCTCGGTCAACTCAGCGAGCATCTCCGTATTACCTAGGTCCCGCTGGCGATTTTGACAAAGTTATACGATGGCTAGGACCAGGATTATATTATTATATAAAGGATGAAAGACCACCTGAGCATTTGAGTTACAGTAGCCCCTTGTTGCGAACAGGCTTCGCGTCGCTCTTCCCTATTGAATGATGTTGGCAGGTTCTGTTCCACCGCGGTTTCTTTGGGGGGCTGAGACCTCATGGGATCTAGGCGAACTGCTACCTCTTCCAAATCAACGGGCCGACATTAGACTGCCGATGGCTTCAGCGTACCTTGTGGAACCTAAGGACCTCGATCTCTGGATCCGCAACACACACAGGTCGTCAGGGCGCCAGAGATCGTGGCATATCTGACGTGCATGAACTTAAAACCTCAGCGCGGTCAGAAACGTAAAATGTGGTTGTATCACCACATTGCAGCTGCCAGATGTGTTTGTGACATTATAATCTTACTCATGTCATCGTTGTCATCTTTTGTCTAAATGGCTCAGATTTGTCGGAACATGTCGGAACATTGCGACTTCAAAATCTTCAAAGAATCCTGCTGTAGATTACAGGCACGAGCTGCCAGTCAAATCATTCACCGCTCGATCCCAAGTTCCCATGAGGCCCATGAGGAATGGATCTATCAGGATCTATCCCCAACTGGCAATGTTTGGTTGGGAGTTACATTGATTATCATTAGATTATCATTAGATTATCATTAGATTATCGTTCGATCATTGGATTATAAAATTTGGAGTACCCTGGCTTTATCAATGCTTTGTCCATCGACCAAGCCAGGCCCCTTTAAAAGCCCGGCCACTTTTTAGAATTTTGGAGCCACCTCCTGCAGTTTGATTCCAGACTGCTGCCACATGGTGCCACCTCGGCCCAAAAAAAGGTAGCCTCGGAGCCTTGTGTTACCTGTGTTGGTTTCACTGGCTGTACACTTGTGGCTTTTGGATGCTTTTGGAAACATCTCAAGATATCAAGAAACTATAAGAAAGTGCAATTTTTGTGGTGCGATCCGCAGTTGCGCTAGACAACATCAGTCTAGTGGACTTCCAGGAAGCTGATGGAAATTTCCTGTCGCGGCACTTCCCATCGACCACGCTGGGACCATCAATGTATCCACTTGACCTGATTCAGATCTGTAAACTGTGCTCAAGAAGATTGGAATCAGTTCTGCTCTCATTTCTACAGCAAAAAGAACTCAGGTGAGATTCCAGAAACCCGAAGGAAGTTGTAGCTCTCATTTTTTCCGCGGAAAATCTAGTCAACTAATTAGTTGCACAGCGGACAGTGGTCCGAAAAAACATGTCCAAGAAATCACCCAAGTTTCCACCGCGCAGATGAGCGGCGTGCCGGTGTTGGTACTCAATCCAAGCCGGCCATCACTATTGATCCAAATGGCACCATGGCGCCGCCTCGCAGGCGGCAATGAGCCTATGCGAATCTATGCGACATGAATGGACTTGATTGGACTTTTATGATCTTTAATGGATGATATGGATGGACTTTCATCATCTTTTCTATATCGTTGGCTATTGTTTGTTTGATCTAGGATGGCCAGATATGTGTTGGCCACATAATATATATATAATATATATATATATATAAATATGGCCAAGTGAAACATGGGATGCTTCACTTTCCAGCGCCTACTGGATGAACTGAACAGGGTCTCCGCATCGTTGGTGCCAAAGCTCCCGATGAGCATGGAACGCTCGGGGGATGGAGCCGATTTCACATAGAACCAGCCTCACCATAAGTCCCCCATACGTCAAACATCAATAGATCTTTCATATCTTTCGTACACATCTTCATCATCTTCCTTTCAGTTCACCTTTGGACCAGTGGACCACTTCCATGAACCTTAAGACACCTGGCTGTGAGTTTTGGGCTATCCAATCATGAATGGAACATATTCTCCCATCCCCCCATCTTTGGAGAAATCTGCAACAATAAAGAGATATGATATATATATATATATGTCACAAACATTCAAATCATATCCAATCAACAAACTAAGCTTCCAGGCCTTCCCATGTCATGTCGCCCTGGCTGTAGGTCTCCCATTCCGTGATCAACGGCGGGATGTTTGTCGACATCCCTTCTGGGACTGGCACGCAGCTTTGGGAAAAGGCTACACGGCTATACTGGAGTTTCCAAGCCATCTAAAAATATCTAAAATCCATCTAAAGATTCTAAAGATTCTAAAGGCGAAGAAAGTTCAGGCCGTTTTCTTGGCTGGAACCCTTTGGATGACGGCGTGGTCATTGTGGTCAATTAGGCCAGGCAAGAACATTCTGCAGTCACATATGTTATTTTCCCCGCTCCGGGGAGTTTGTGCTTTCCAATAGGTCATTTGGAAATTGATTTGTGTGCTGTGCGAGGGTGAGTATGAATAGTTGCTCTGTGTTGTTTTGCTTTGGTTTGCTGTGTTTTGCGTTGCTTTGTTTAGATTGGATTTGATTGGATGCTTCTTTGCTTGCTTGTTTCCTTGTCAGTTTGTTTGTTCTGCATTGTCTTGCCATCCACTAGAGTCACTAGAGTGCAGTCAATATGTCGATGCCCAAGCAGCTTGGTATACAAAGTGTCAGCCCGAAATGCTGATCTTCCTGCCTTCAGACATCCGGGTCACGAGAAATCCCCAGCTGACTCCGCGGGTCCTGAGTTTTGAGACCACGTTCAAGGCAAGCCTACTACAAAGAAATAAAGTATGGTAAAATCCCAAAATATTCCAACGTATTCCAACATATTCCAACATATTCCAACGTATTCCAACAATCCCAAGATCTCGCTTCTTGTCTTTTAGCGGGTGGCAACAAACTGTGATGTGTCCGCTTCACATTTATGGTTCTGTAGGTGTTTTCCTCACCAAGCTGCGCAAAGACTTCGCTCTTGACAAAGCATCGGCCAGGTCGAGTAACCTCTCTGCAGACCGGGTCTCTCAAATATGCCAAGAGAGTCCGTCACAACTCAGAATCAGGAGACGCTTCACTGCTGCATGCTAAGAGATGTTGAAAATCCACAAATTTAGACATTTTTAACTACAAGGTCAACTCGAAAAGTCCGCTGTCCCGAAGTCCTTCACGCTGCATCGCTTCTGATCTGACTTACCACTGCTGACGCGGCCTCGCCACGATTGTTACCACAGTTGTAGGAGCAGAAGAAGGCTGGTGGGATCCTTGGAAATTGCGGGCACAACCGGCACAACCCAGATCTACCCAGATCTACCCAGCATCCAGTTTGAGCTGGTCAATGGATGTCAATGGATTTTCGATTTTCATCCCGGACCGTGTGAGATGTAAAACAATATGAGAGAGATGTTGACTGCAACTGCAAGGAGAGTCTCCCACATAGCCAGAGGAGCCGGCCATACATCTTGGCATATCTTAGATATCTTAGTCACTTTAGCTCCCGGTGCGAGTCACACCATTCCACACCGTCTCATGCCTAGAGGCTGGAATCCAACCCGTTCAACCTGGCCACAGAGAGGCGAAGTCGGCATTTTTACTCCGATTTGAAACCCAAAACAAGGGTCCTACTATGTCCTACTCAGAGATTTGGAGCGGAGGCAGTGAAATTTAAAACATTCAGCAAGGAAGATCATCTTGCATCAGCTTAGACTCTATGTCACTCTATATGTCTCTCCGTCTGAGGCACTGCAGATGACTGCTGCCATACTGTTGCCATGTCTAGCCGTCTAGCCTCCTCAAGGGCCAGGGTCACTGCCTGAGAACCAGAGGAGCACTCCATGGTCCAAGATGACTCACCTGGGTGACCAGTGGATTGCTGCTGCTTACTTATACCCTCTCAAGATTCTCAAGCAGAATTGATGGAAGCAAGTGATTATTGAAATCATATGATATCTATGTATATGCAATCTGAACAAGAAAGACATTGGTTTGGTGTAAACCGTAAGAACTGCCCCAACTTCTCTTTTCAATGCCTTTCAGCATGCCATGCTACTCTCATCTGTGTTGACCCTATCCGCGTTCAAGCTCAGGCACCCATAGGCGGTGTGGTCGCGTCGCTGGAAGAAATGTATGCAGTGTGGGTGCAGAGCCCATTTTCGTCGAGATCCTCGCGGTGGTCAGTGGAGGCCTCTGAGGCGCTATACCAAGTGCGCATGGTGGTGTGAAGCATGACTTGTCATACATCGTGTCTTGAACTTATACATTTGCAGTTATATACAATATAGTATATATATATTCATATATAGTAAGTATTATGTATAAACTCACACATAGTGTGAAGAAACACGAAACCAGCACTCCGTTCATAGTGTTCTCCTCATCACACAATCGCCTTGATCGGTGGATCATTTCTGAAATCATCTAAAATCTATATCAGTGTTCACAACGTCTCCCCCTGCTGCACTGAACTCCTGAGATTGATTTCGATCAGGTGTCCCGTCCAAAGTCTGGATGATCCACCTGCCGGAGTATTCTGAACATGAACCGAGGCGCCGAGGCAGGTCATTGCACCGAGACTCTACCCCCATTGCCTGGAGTCGCTGGTGGAACCATCACAACTTGGATCGAAATAAATATGCCTCAGCCAGATTTGATGTCATCATGCACCAGACATCCAAGCACATTTGAAGCCTCAAACTGCCTTACACCTAAAGACCAATATGAATATGATACTGTATGTGGTTCAGCAACCCAAGTTTGTTGAACACAAGAGCTTCAGGTTCAAATTGTCATCATCCATGGGCATCCACGGGCATCCATGGGCTTTCAGGGTACAATTTGGAATCGAAGGCTTTGTAGAGTGGTGCGCCACTGGCAGTTCTGCCTTGGAGATTGTACTCCTGCAGGAGGATCCAGAGCAAGAATTTGTGGGGTGAGATGTGGTCCATGGTCAACAAATGTCAATAGCATCATGGAATATCTTGGAGGATCACCAAGATAGACAAACTATATATGGCTATGATGGGACATGATCATCTATGATCTATGTATGAGAACGAAGGTTGAGAAGACCCAGGACCAAGTGCACTGTGCACCTCCATGGGTTGGGAGGTCAAGTGGGCCGTAAACCACACGTCACTGGGGCCAGTGGTGTTTGTGTCTGTCAACAAGAAACACTGCCTGCAGGCTTGGGGTCATGCTCACTTGTCTGATGGCGTTATCTAAACCAATGAAACACAGGAGCGCACAAGTGCAGTCAGACCTGCTCCGAACATCGAAACCATGCGGGGAAAAAAAATGCTGCCATCAACAAGCAAAGCATCCCGCGTCAACTTTTTTCGGTTGGGCAGGGCTTTTAAGTAATGACCAACATTGGAGTGATCTTGGTATGCGTCCATCCCCCAAATAACCAGTAAACTTATGGCTTTGGTTCAAAATTATAAACCTTCACGGCAGAATGGTTGCATATGATGATTCAAATGCGATTAAATATTAAGACTCTAAGGATGATCTGATGACTCGAAAGTGATTTCTCATACTGAGACAAGTCACAATTAAATCTTTGGCATTAGTAATTAATTAGTGATAGTACTATCTATGTGTATCCATTATGGATAATCCATATTGACATATATTGAAATTAATCAATCTGCTACCCGGCCCAACGGAGCGGCTCCGTGTTCACCGAGTCCAGGCAGGCACCGTAGATTGCCAAACGGACAGGCGCCTGTCGGGTCGCCAACAGTTGGTGCTGGGTTCAACCAATCCCAATCTGATCAATATGTACATATCTATGTCTATTGATTGTGACATATTTATGTATTTATCTATCTAGTTAATTTGGTTAATCTATTTATTGTGTTTGATTATTTTTTCTCTGTTTATTTACTTATTTGTTTATTTACGTATTATTTTATGTATTATATTTTTCAATGTATGTATGTCTGTACGTATGTCTGTATGTCTGCTTATGAACGAAAAATACATGGAAAACTGTCAAGCAAAGGACGGCAAGGAAACTTTGCATGGAGAATGGACCACAAAAGGATCACCGTCTGCAGCCTTTCAATCTGATGCATGTCGATATTTGTCTGACACCTGGCACCTCTGCACATGCCAAGGCAAACAAGAAGCGGATTAAAAAGCCACGCATGGCGATTCCAACAAGCTTGGCTGTTTCTTGATCTGTGGAGGTCACTTAGCAGACTTAGCAGACTTGGCCGTTCATTCTAGCCTTGAACAAAAACCATTGAAAGAATGTACTCTAGTGTCGGATGTCGTTTCGCGTCATGTTCCCGGAGCAAGTAGTTTCAGGGAAGCAGGGAAAACCCTGTTTGGCCCCACTTTCATGCGTTTTCATTACATTGCTTGGAAGCAACCGGCTTGTGATCAAGCTAAAATGGATGGCTTATGATGGCTTCGTTGATGGCTTTGTCGATGGCTTCGTTGATGGCTTTGTCGATGGCTTCATGTGCTTGTTCCAGCTGCAATCTATCCAGGACAAGTCCATGAGCCAAGCTTGTCAATGAGTTGCTTTTAAGGACTCAATTTGGGATTGGCCTGTTTTGCATTCTTGTCTTCCATCGTGAGAGCCAACGGCTATCGGCTATCCGATTTGCAAATTTGCACTTGCCCGTCCTTTTAGAAAGGTGAATGCAGGGCGCTGCAGTACTCAAGTACTCCACTTGCTATTGTGCCTATTGATTAAAGATGCAGCTCAAACCCAAATTAGTCTATCGTTCTCTAGAATCGAGTTGTGTAGTCTGTAAGTGGTCCGTTGTCATGTTGCAGAAAGGCATATGGGGTGATCGAGCACGCATCTGAACAGATTTCTCCACGCATGCAGTTCACCATCAATCTCTTAAAGAAATAAAAATATTGAATGCAAAGTGTCGAAACAGAAGGAACAGCCCTGGCGCGAGAACATGTTCTCGTGCTACATCTGATGTTTGAAGCGAAGGCCGACACAACATGATCAGAGGATGACGCAACGGCCGACACCTTTTCTGTTCGTCGGCTCGATCCATCCTCTGATCCTCATGTCCTTCAAGCGCTTCAAGCGCTTCAAGCGTATCCTGCAGACTCCAAGACCTGCCAGCACGGGCATCGGCATGGGTAAAAAAAAACGTGGTATGTTAGTGAACATGAAAATCGCTGATCAATATCGGTAGTGTATTGGTATACGATTGGTATACATGATGTATTCAACATGGTTCAATGTATTCATAATGTTCAATCCCCCACAATCCCAGAAGATTCCGGAAAATCACAGGATGCAGGGCCTTCATCTCATCTGCAGACAGCTTCACGGCCTTCTTGGCCTGGCATAACATGGCGTAGACCATGACTTTGACCGTCCATAAATTGAGGCTTCCTGGCAGTTACTGGCAGTTCCTCGCAGTTCCTGGCAGTTCCTGGCAGTTCCTGGTTCCTGTAAATGTTCCCTTTTTGATGTCTTGGAAGTACTTACTAAGTACCTGGAAGCAGAAAACGATATTTCAACAGGCTTAGCATCTTTCGATCGTGGCCTCGTTCTTGGCGCGCAAGCTTGCGGTCTTCTTCTTGTAGAAGGCTTCACTCTTCACCTGCTTTCAGGATCTTTCAAGATCTTTCAAGATATATTGAGATCTATTGAGCCGCGCAAGTAGCAAGATGAGCAACAGAATCTGAAGAGCAAAAGCTCAAGCTCTTCCAGGTGCTCTGCACGCCTTTCGCTGCGACTCCAAGCGCTGGATGAGTGCCCCGTGCTTCCAGCCCACCTGACCGTCGAGCGGCTCTCAGCCCGTCGGTGCCAACCAACCTTTGCCGGTTCTTGGTGCCAAAAAATAGTCAAATCCCTTTGAGCGGTGATCACTGGTGAGAACTGATCACATTTCATCAGCCTGGATATCCCTGGACCATTGGGGATGGTGGACCAGGTGGACCATCACCCGCCATGCCGCCACCGTCACCGCCATCACCGCCGTCGCCTCCTTGGAGAGGTCGCCCAGACGGCAGAAGCGACGTTCCGGGCGCAGGCGCAGGACCTTCAGGCAGCTGGGCACCTCAGGCAACGGCCAAAGTGTGGAGCTGGAGAATGGAACAGATCATTGAATGGAAATTATGGCAAATATATATATATATATATATGCATTTATTTAATTCATTTATTGATTTATACATATATATATATATAACAATAGATGTTCACATCATCAATCATCATCAAATGTGTAAAAAAAAGATTTAGAAAATACGTTTAAAAAAAAACGTAGGATCTCTCTACAGGAATTTGTGACGTGTAAATCACCGGCATTGTTTCGTGCCACCTGGGATCCTGGGGCTCCAACCACCATGCCTGAGTTGCCACGGAAAAGTGTGAAATTGTGGGAACTGTTTCAAAAGTTTCAAGAGTTTCAAGTCGATGCATTGGAAAACTATGGAAAACTATCGCGGCACCTACACCTCCATTTTCACATTGCTGTGATCCGGATCAACGACCGAGGGACGCTTCTTACGGTCATAGGGATGAGGAATGCCCTCGAAGGTCTTCAGCCTTGGTGCGTCATGGCTGGCCCACTTTGAACTGAGGTTTACGGCTACCTTTAACTGGTAGATATGATATTATATAACCCATTATAACCCACTTAGGATAAGCTGTAAATGGTGGCGGGGCACTGTAGAGCTACAAAAGAGATTTGTTGAGGTTCCAGGCTTGTCAAGTGCAGCTGCACCGCGGGCAGTCTTGTGGGGGACCTTGGTCAAAGGATTGCTGGATGCTGGGATCAGTCTGAAATCAGGGTTGCACTCGGTTGCACTCGGTTGCACTTGGTTGCACTGTTGCACTTTACTCCAACCAATAGGGTCAAGTTCGACTCTTGTGTGTTTTCATCATCAATGATACTGATTCAATGGGGCGACAGTTCTCTGCTGTTACGGGTATCAAAAATTGTTGGTGCGAAATGAGCAATGGACACCACTTCTAGTTTTCTGGGGTTCAGGGTGTTCTTGGATCTCCGGGAGAAGAGTTAAAGCCGCAAAGCCCCTGCCACTTCAAATCCAAGGGGCCATGCCGCGGATGGTGCGCCACAGGATCTTGGCAGGAGATCGAAAGTGGAAGGGTCCTTGACGAGGATTGGTGTTCCTCGGGCTGCCGACATGGAGAACTCAGCTGGAAGCCTTTTGCCTCTTGACGTCTGATTTGACAGTTTGATATTACACATACTCTAATGTATGTATAGTATATATATATGATATGTGTGTGTATGCACTTGAAGAGTCTATAAATGCGATTCACATGAGAAGTGCAACCGGGTTGCATGTGTTTCCTCCTGAAGTTGGCATACTTCAGCTTGTTTCGGTACAACGATCCAGAGATATTGATGTCTTCAGCGCGGACGCAGACCACTTGCCTACCGAAAGCCAGATTGCTGCAAAGTTGAAGCAAAGAAAAGACATGATGAGGTGATGTTATCCTGTGGCAAGCAGATGCAATCTAATTCGCCTGGCTTCTTGATCATCTGAGTTACTTCCAGAGGTACGGATGTACATGTCCCACGGATATTCCCACTGCACTAGGTACGCTGACTACATTTCGGTCATGAGCAGGACTTGCTCCTGCTAAAAGTTTGCAAAAAGAATTGGTTACTCAAAACGAAGCAGCGCAACTGGGAATTTCAGATAGTGGCTACTTATAAGGTCTGGTCTGAACTCAGATCAAAGCAAGATAAACAATCTTAAGGGATACTAATCTATGCTTCGCAATAGCTCAGCAAGCACTCCAACTACGAAGTATTACGAAGTCCCATAGGTGGAACAGGGCAAAACAAACCCAAAACCAAAGGCGTTCCCCCAAGGGATCCACGTCAGGACCATGACTATCATGGCTATGGGTTGACATCCTTTGTGTGCCGTTGAACACAAGACGGAAATGTTCATGTTGTAAATGTTGACAATCCCAAATCTCCAAAAAAAAACAGAGATTCAAATCTAGATACCCATAATACATATATATATATGTATTCCATATATATATATTATAATAACATAGTATTGTATAATATACTTAGTATGTAAAATATATATATAGGATTATATATATTATATATATATTATATATATATATATTATATATTATATATATACACTACAATATAAATATAATACAATATTATAAATATATGCGCGTGATGTGTGTGTGTGTATGTGCTTATATTTATAGTATAGCTAGGTAGATGATAGATGAATAAAGGGATACCAAAATTCCTGGTGCAGGGCAGCACCACCGCGACTGGGCTGCCAGGCTGACCATTCAGCAACTCCTTGGCCAGGACCGATGCCAAGCCTCAGGAGATGATGATGGTACCCGGTATACCCGGTGTACCCGGTAGCCCCCAATTTGTAAAGAAACTCTTGGGCCTAGGGGTTGACTCCTTCGTGGTTTTTGTTCTGTATTTTGCATTTGAGAAATTAGATCTATAAACTGATAGTGGACAATTCATAGTAATTCTTGTTTTTCAGATTTGTATGGTATTGTGGAACCTTGTTGCGTTGAGAACCCTTGGATTCAGACAGAATGACAAGAAATCGGAGATCCTCTTAGGCTCAAACGTCCCAAGAGGTGACCGCGGCAGTCCACAACAATCTGTGCGCACAAGAGTCACCAAGAATTTACTGTTCGCAGTTCCAATTTTGACAGAAGGAATCTGGTGGATTGTTGCATCTTTATGGCCAGCAGAATCACAACTGTTGTTTTCAAATGTTTATTGAAGTATCGCAACAAGTTGAAAAGAAGAATTAGCTGAGGCAAAGTATCACTAAAACTGGCCAGGCGTCTGCAGCAATCGCTTGAAACAGACCCCTACTGTATCCTACGGTCCCCTACGGCCTGCTCCTTGAAGGACATGACGCACAACGACGAGACACACGCCGTTCACCGAACTGAGCCGACTTCGAGCCGAGCCACTTGAGCCACCACAGAGTGCGGGATGAAATGGGAAAGCGACGGGAACGAAATGTCCTGTGCCTTCTATTGTCAGGAGGCCACAAACTGCAGCGATGTCCTGCCCAGAAGTTCTTCCCAGAAGTTCTTCCATGGCCTTTTCATGCCTTTTATAAGCATGATGTCAATATATCATGTCAATCATGTTGAATATATCAACATGATTCATTCATCACTGTCATTGCCAGCTCGCAAAAGCCCTTGTTTTCACCTCCAGCTCAGTCAGCTTCCCCGGCTTTAGCGGCTCAGGCATAGCCGGCAGATTCCAGGACCTTCATCTCATCCGCAGAGAGCTTCACAGCCTTCTTGGCCTGGTGCTATATCCCCAGCGAAGCCAACGGGCTGCCCGGGCTGCATCCCCGGTTTGAGATGTTCATCCATGTCACATGTCCCACAAAAGTGGAGTAAAACTGGTCGTAGGATATGGTGTCATACGTATGGACCCATCCTCACGTCATCCCATTTGTCGTGACGCTGTCACATCTCTCATCTACCATGGATTTGCCTCGTTCTTGGCGCGAAGGCTTGCGGTCTTCTTCTTGTAGAAGGCTTCACTCTTCACCTGCTTTCAAGATCTTTCAAGATATATGAGAACGCACAAGTGGCCTTGGAACGTTGAGATTGTCTGTCTGAAACACCCAACTTCAATACAAGTGGAGGAGCTCTGTCAGCGGCTTATACCAACTCCACTTTACCAAAGCATGGGTAGTTCTTCAATTGTCGTCTCAAATCTTGAAGGATCAGCACCAAAAACTCCTGGCCTTGCGCTGAGACTCCAAGCGCTGGATGAGGGCACCATGCTTCCAGCCCACCTGACCGTCGATGCATCAACAAAATCAACAGCATCCGACAGCCATGGCGGCAATGGTGGCTGCTCAGTGATGGTGGCATCGCCTCCTTGGAGAGGTCGCCCAGGCGGCAGAAGCGACGTTCCGGGCGCAAGCGCAGGACCTTCAGGCAGCTGGGCACCTCAGCCGGAAACCATAGGAATGTGGGGACTCAGTAACTTCAGGGGAAGTCTAAATGGGGTTTCCATAAATGGGGGTACCGATATAGCGGGATGGTTTATTTCATGGAAAATCCTATAATGATTTAGGGGTACCCCCACTTTAGGAAACCTCCACATGTCCAAATAAGGATGTTCAAAACATCCTCAGAGCTGAAACAGTCCGTTAAATTGCTGTTGTTGCCGGTCCCATAAAAGGGAAGCAATCCTCAAAATGTATTTGCAAGATCTGCCATGTTCATGTTCAAGATCAAAATCGACAGGGCTTGAAGATTCCTGCTGGTTCATCACTGCCGGAAGCACTAACTTCAGCAGCAACCCTTCCCACAGTCTTCCCTAGAGAGACTCTACTTGGAACAACTGGGAACAAACCACACACTTAGGACCGGACCACCATTCCTGAGTCACGTGTGACATGTATTCAAATCTTGTGGAAATGTCAGTAAGAAGGCAAGAGAGTGTGCATATAATTTCATACACTCCCAGATTGTGTTGAAAATCTGACTAAATCTACGATCTGGGAACAGCATAATCACCGTCAGCGTTGGCAATTGATGCTGGCAAGTGAAAATATGTTCTTGGAAAATGAATTGCTTCATGATGCATCTCTGATGGAACAGCTAAGTTGTTCGACGCCAGCTCTGAATTGCAAAAAGACGAAATCATAAATTGCATGATAAGTACAACAACCCAAGTACTAGTATAGGCAGAATAAATGACAGGTTGCTTCAAAGCAAGCATGCTGTGCGCAAATGTGCTCTGCGCAAGCATGCTCCATGCACATCTTTCAGGTGTCTTTCCGATACAAGGTCTTTCTGCCAACAAATGACTCTTCTTGCGGTCGTATGGGTGGGGAATGCCCTCAAAGGTCTTCAGCCTGCAGCAGTGCTCTGCGTCAAGATGACTGACAGCAGTTCAGCGATTGCCAGACTTTGGTGTGATCAAGTTGCAGCTTCTAAATCCACACTGCATAGGCATCGGAAAGCCCAAATCAGCCCAATGTTCAACGGCGGCATAGGCTTCCGCACTTGTCCAGTGCGGCTGCGCCGCGGGCAGTCTTGTGTGGTACCTCCGCATCCAGGAGACTCGCACTCGTAACAGAAGTGGCTGCGTTCAAACAGCAAGTATCAAGCTACAAGTGTCAGGAAAATGTTCAAAATCCATGTTTAATCATGCACGCCGTCAACCGTCGTTTTCTGCACAAATATATTATGCAATTCCCTCAAGATCTCAGCGCTGGTCACCATGCCGCGGATGGTGCGCCACAGGATCTTGGCAGGAGATCGAAAGTGGAAGGGTCCTTGACGAGGATTGGTGTTCCTCGGGCTGCCGACATGGAGAACTCAGCTGGAAGCCTTTTGCCTCTTGACGTCTTATCTGACAGTTTGATATTACACATATTCTAATGTATATTATATATATGTATATATATATGTGTGTGTGTGTGATTATGTGTTTATGCACTTGAAGAGTCTATAAATGCGATTCACATGAGAAGTGCAACCGAGTTGCATGTGTTTCCTCCTGAAGTTGGCGTACTTCAGCTTGTTTCGGTACAACGATCCAGAGATATTGATGTCTTCAGCGCGGACGCAGACCACTTGCCTACCGAAAGCCAGGTCTTGAGCTGGAAGAAAGTGGAGTTGTTCAAGAAAGTGGATATTATCCCATGATATCCCATGTATTTTGCAAACAACATCAAACAACCTGGTGTCCGCGCGCGATAAGAGGGCGCACAAAGGCGAGCGCGATAAGATGGCGTAGCATCAACTTCAAGAAAAGCAAGTTAACATGAACGTTAACATCCCCACCCCACCCCAACCCAGTGACGCGACGTCAGTTGCGCATGTGCCGCAAGTTAACATGAACGTTAACATCCCCACCCCACCCCAACCCAGTGACGCGACGTCAGTTGCGCATGTGCCGCAAGTTAACATGAACGTTAACATCCCCACCCCACCCCAACCCAGTGACGCGACGTCAGTTGCGCATGTGCCGCAAGTTAACATGAACGTTAACATCCCCACCCCACCCCAACCCAGTGACACGTCAGTTGCCATGTGCCGCAAGTTAACATGAACGTTAACATCCCACCCCACCCCAACCCAGTGACGTGACGTCAGTTGACGTGTGCATGTGCCGCAAGTTAACATGAACGTTAACATCCCCACCCCACCCCAACCGTGACACTCAGTGTGCATGTGCCGCAAGTTAACATGAAGTTAACATCCCCACCCCACCCCAACCCAGTGACGTGACGTCAGTTGTGCATGTGCCGCAAGTTAACATGAATGTTAACATCCCCACCCCACCCCAACCCAGTGACGTGACGTCAGTTGTGCATGTGCCGCAAGTTAACATGAACGTTAACATCCCCACCCCAGCCCAGCCCAGTGACGTGACGTCAGTTGTGCATGTGCCGCAAGTTAACATGAATGTTAACATCCCCACCCCACCCCAACCCAGTGACGTGACGTCATTTGTGCATGTGCCGCAAGTTAACATGAATGTTAACATCCCCACCCCACCCCAACCCAGTGACGTGACGTCATTTGTGCATGTGCCGCAAGTTAACATGAATGTTAACATCCCCACCCCACCCCAACCCAGTGACGTGACGTCAGTTGTGCATGTGCCGCAAGTTAACATGA